GGATCCCAGACCCACGAGGGATGGGAACCCCTAGCACTGAGGATCCTGGTCTTATAGCCCTGGCAACCCCTGGCACCAGGATGCCAGTCCCACAAAGGATGGGAACCCCTGGTCCCAGGATCCTGGTCCCACAGCCCTGGGAACCCCTGGCACAGCAATCCTGGGCCCATGAGGCTGTGGGTGCTGTGGGCACCCAACCCCTCCCATGGCACTGGGGACCCCCATGCCACCCCCCAGCCGTGCCTTGTCCCCCGAGGCGCCGGTGAGGACGAAGGTGGAGAAGACGGGCAGGGGGTACTTGGTGCCCACGGGCCAGCTCTCGATGGTGGCGCCCATGGGCAGGCAGAACACGGGCACCGACTCGGGCAGAGGGAAGGACTCGCTGTCCTGCTCGGGGTAGCGGCTCAGCAGCCCTGCACGGACACACGGACAGCCGGACACATGGACACCGGACAGCGGGATCAGCCCCCCGGGTCATCTCACCCACCCCAGCGAGGAGGGGGCAGCCAGGGGAGTGCCCACAGCTCCCCAAAACCACCCCCCAAAACTTCCCTCCAACAGAAAACACAACTGCCCCCAACCCCAGTAAGGGACCCTCAGTAAGGGACCCCACTGTCACCCCAGTAAGGGATGCCACACTTCCCAGTAAGGGATCCCAGTGTCACCCCAGAAAGGGACCCCATTGTCACCTCTCCCCAGTAAGTGACCCCAGTCCCCAAAGCCTGGCAAGGCCCCCCAGGGGTGCTGGGGCAGCTGAAGGGCCCCACCTTGTGCTCCCCAAACCCCGTGAGGAGACCCAGGGGCTCCCCCAAATCAGCCCCACGCCCGCTGGAGGTGGTTAATCGACACAGAAAATATTTTTAAAAATAACAACAACAACAACAAACAACTCTGGCTCCCCCCGTGAGCCCCCAGCACCCCCATCCCAGTCCCCACCTGCCTCGTAGACCAGCGTGTTGTCCTTGGCCACGGCGATCTTGTAGCACAGGAACAGCGCGGGGCCCCACTGCAATGAAGGATGGGGATTTCGGGGCTCAGCACGGGCAGGGCGGCGCCGCGGGGACGAGAGGCGCCCCCCCAAACGCACCATGCTGGTGTTGAGGTTCTTGTCCACGCGGCAGAAGGTGTGGGGCGTGCTCTCGCCCTTGCTGGGCATCACCAGGCAGATGTCGGTGACGCCCAGCGTGTGGTGCCCGGGCGGCTCGGCCGCGCGCCGGAACGTCAGGAACGTGCGCTGGTGGCCCGGCGAGCCCGCGGCCAGGTTGGCAGAGCGGCTGTAGGGCGTCGTGTCCAGCAGCTGGCAGCCCGGCTTGGGCCGGTCCTTGCCCTCATAGTGCACCCTGAGGGGCGGGAGCGTCACAGATGTGTTTTATCAAAAATCCGTTCCTTGGGATTGTTCCTCCTGAGAGGCCCCAGGAACAAAATGTAAATAATGGCTATCTGCTGCTGCGGGATGCAACAGGTGCACCTGTGATTGGGCTCATGTGGTTGTTTCTAATTAATGGCCAATCACAGTCTCGGTCACTCACAACCCTTTGTTACCATTCTTTTTCTATTCTTAGCCAGCCTTCTGAAGAAATCCTTTCTTCTATTCTTTCAGTATAGTTTTAATATATATCGTAAAGCAATAAATCAAGCCTTGTGAAACATAAAATCAACATTCTCATACCCACCCTCATCCTAAGGCCCCTGCGAACACCATCAGAGGGACAGGGGTGAGGGGAACTGCCAGCGGCACCTCCAGGGTCCTTCCCAGCTTCCCAAACTCTTCCCCCTCCAGATTCTTTCCCAGCTTCTCAAACTCTTCCCCTCCAGGTTCTCCCCCAGCTTCCCAAACTCTTCCTCCTCTGGGTTCTTCCCCAGCTTCCCAAAATTTTCCCTCTCCAGATTATTTCCCCACATCCCAAACTCTTCCCCCTCCAGGTTCTTCCCCACCTTCCCAAACTCTTCTCCTTCCTGGTTCTTCCCCAGCTTCCCAAACTCTTCCCCAGCCTGCTGTGACCCAGAGCAGGACTCGGTGCCCCCCACTCACCCCAGCTCGATCAGGGGGGGTTTGTCCCGCCCCCGTTTGTAGCACAGGAACATCTGGGGGTTGTTGAGCAGCCCCGCGTTGAGGTCCACGGGGTGTCCGGACGTGCTGGTCTCGATGCAGGTGAAGCCCTGCGGCACCTCCTCGCCCTGCGAGCGGATGATCACGGCCACGTCCGTGATGGGCTCCCCGGGCCGCGCCGGCCGCGGCTGCTGCTCCTCCTCCAGCGCCCGCGAGCCCTCGGCCAGCCCGGCCACCACGAAATAATCCACGAGCTGCGGGGGCTTCTCGTCCGCCATGGCTCCAACAGCATCTGCGGGGACACGGCCCACGGTGCCACCACCCCAGCGGGGACGGGACGGGACGGGAAGGGAGGAGGTTCCGGTCACGCCGCGGGACACGGGGACCGTCCGGAGCCTGCAGCAACCCCCAAGAACGGGCGGGACCCGTCGGTAGTGCCCGGAGGGAGGACGGACCCCAACCCCGAGGCAGCCCCGGTTCGGGGGCTCGCTCCTGCTTTGGGGACCCGCTCCCTTCTGCGCCCCTACTTTGGGGACCTGCTCCGTTCTGTGCCCCCTCGCTGTCCCCAGCGCCCCCAGGCCGAAAGACCCCCCCGTCCCCAAAGTCCCCTCGGTCACCGGAGCCCCCTCACTGTGCCCAGCCCCCCTGGGTGCCCCCGGTTTGCCCACGGGGAGCGGCGGAGCCGGAGCACGGGGGCGGCAGGAAAGGGGAAGGAAGCGGCGCCAGGCCCGGGCCGCGCACGTCACCCCGGCCCCGCCACACCGGGGGGGCCGCACGGCCGCGACCCCACCGCGGACACCGCCCGGGACACCGGGGTGGCTCCGTGAGCCCGGTGCGGAGGGCACGGTCGCTGCACCGAGGGGTGCCAGCAGTGACACCCCCTCAGCCGGGCGGGGACACCCCCGGGGACAGCGACAGCGACAGCCCTGCCTGGGGTCACCTCCTGCCGGGGCCTGCGGGGGTCCCCCATCCCCGTGTCCCCCCCGGTGACCCCCCGGAGGATCCGCTGTCCCCGTGTCCCTCCCGGTGAGGCCTCCGGAGCGTTCCCCATCCCCGTGGCCGCCCCGGTGCCCCCCCGGCCGGCTCCGCATCTCCGTGTCCCCCTCCCGGTGACTCCCCCACATGCGGCCCACAGAGCCCAGCCCCGGCCCCGCGGCCCCCGCGGGACCCCCGGCCCGGCCTCTCCCGGTTCCCTCACACCCCCCTCCCGGTACCTGCGGGCCGGGCCGGGCCGGGGCCGCGTCTTTGGGCTCCGCTGGGCCGCGACCGCGCGCCCGCCCGGCGCCCGCCCGCCACAGCGCCCCCTGGCGGCGCGGAGGACTCGGGGAGCGGCCGGGGGACACCGCCCCCGCCCCAAAAACTCAGAACCCCCCAAAATCCTCATAAATACCCCCCAAAATCCTCAGAAACCCCTCCCCAAAATCCTCAGAACTGCCCCAAAATCTTCAGAACCCTCTCTCCAAAATCCTCAGAAAATCCTCAGAACCCCCTCTCCAAAACCCTCAGAACCCTCCCAAAATTCTCAGAACCCCCTCCCCAAAATCCTCAGAACTCCCTTCCCCAAAATCCTCAGACCCCCTGCCAAAATCCTCAGAAAATCCTCAGAACTCCTCCCCAAATCCTCCGAAATCCCTCCCCAAAATCCTCAGAACCCCCCCCAAAATCCTCAGAACCCCCTCCCCAAAATCACCCACACACCAGCAGGGGGGGGATTTAATTAACATAGAATATATTTTAAAAAATAATAATAATAATAAATCACTCTGGCTCCCTCCGGGGGGGGCCCAGGGCCCCCCACCCGCGGACGGGACCCCCAATTTTGGGGAGGGGGGCAGGGGGCAAAGTTACAAGTGCTTTCTACACGTCCCCGGCAGCTGGGTAATTTGGGGAGGGGGGCTTGGGGTACATACTGGGGAGGGGGAGCGGGATCTCTCCTTAAACATGATGATGATTAGCCGGAAAAATGATAAAATAAAGGCAGAAGCGGCCCCCCGAGCCCCCCCCGGGGGTCTCTACCTACGGGGTTATGTACAGCCCCCCCCGGGGGTGCAGCCCCCTCCCCAAATTTCCCGGGGTTCGGTGCCAGGTGGGCTCTGGGGGTGGGAATTGGGGGGGGGCGATGAGTGGAACCCCCCAGGATGGTTTGGGGGGGTGCCTGGATTGTCTCCCCCTCCCCAAATTCCCTCACCCCGAGGTGGTCCCGGGGGTTTCCTGGAGAACAGAACCCGGTGGGAATTTGGGGAGGGGGCTGGGGGGTGCTGGGGACCCCCCCCAACCTCGGAAGGAGCAGAAGGAGCCCTTGAGAGCCGCGCCTGGAGCCCCCTCCCCACTTTTCCAGGATTTTCCTGGCATGACAGTGACAGGGTCAGTCCCAGGGTGGGAATTGGGGAGGGGGCTTGGCCCTTGACAGCCACAGTTTGGAGGGTCCGGACGGAGCCCCCACCCATTTCTGTGGGGCTGGGGGGGTCGCGGCTCCCTCCAGCCGGGTTCGGGATCCGTTCCGGGGTTCGGGATCCGCTCCGGGGTTCGGGATCCGTTCCCGGGTTCGGGATCCGCTCCGGGTTCGGGATCCACTCCGGGGTTCGGGATCCGTTCCCGGGTTCGGGATCCGCTCCGGGTTCGGGATCCGCTCCGGGGTTCGGGATCCGCTCCAGGGTTCGGGATCCGCTCCGGGATTCGGGATCCGTTCCCGGGTTCGGGATCCGCTCCGGGTTCGGGATCCGTTCCCGCCTCTCCCGGTGCTGTCCCGGTGCTCTCAGGGTGCATTCCCGGTGCTGTCCCAGCGCTGTCCCGGTGCTCTCCCGGTGCATTCCCGGTGGTCTCAGGGTGCATTCCCGGTACATTCCCGGTTCTCTGCCGCTGCATTCCCGGTGCTCTCCCGGAGCTGCCCCGGTCCCTCAGCGGGAGCGCAGCGGGCGGCGGCCCCGGGGGGCGGGCACGGCGGGCGGGGCGCGGCCCCGGGGCCGGCCCGGGCTCACTGCAGGCGGTCGGAGCGGAAGGAATCCTCCACGGCGGGGTCGGTGAGCAGCGCGCACGGGTCGCTCAGCATGCTCAGCCCGTCCAGCGTCAGCGGCTCGATGCGCAGCTCCTCCTCCAGCCCCCCCAGCCCCCCCAGCGAGCCCCCCTCCACCTCGAAGCCCGGCACCCCCGCCAGGGCCGTGGCGATCTCCTTGGACAGCCCGGGGGGCGAGTCGCCTGTGGGGAACGGGGGGCGGGGACACGGGGGTCAGCGGGGACAGAGACCCCGGGACAGCCCAGGGACCCCCGGGACACACCATGGAGTCCCCTGAGACACCCCAGAGACCCCCGGGACACCCCACCTGTGACATCCCAGAGACCCCCGGGACACCCCAGGAATCCCCAGCCCCCACCTCCCCTCCTGTGACTCTCCCAAACAGCCCCCAGCCCACTCCTTGTGACACCCCAAAAACCCCCAGCCCCCCCCCCCAGGACATCCCACCTGTGACACTCCGCCCCCCCCAGAGACCCCCCAGCCTCCCCCCAGCTCACCCACCCACCCATGACACCCCAAGGACCCCCAGCCCCCCTGTGCCACCCCATGGACCCCCCCAGGACACCCCCGTGCCCCCCACCTGTGAAGATGATGTTGGGGATGGGGCCGTGGCGGCTGCAGTTGCTCAGGTTTGGGCGGCTCAGGCCGGGGGGGTCGTAGCCCCCCTCGCTCGGGGGGTAACCCAGGGCCCCCCCCAAATCCTCGGGGAAGCCTCCGCTGTTCCCGGGGGGGCTCTCCCCGATCCCGAACTGCTCCAGCTGCGGGGAGGGGGGACACGGGAGGTGAGACCCCACAGAGGGGGGACACGGGAGGTGAGACCCCCACAGAGGGAGGGGAGACCCCACAGAGGGTGCCCTGTCCCCATCTCTCCCTGGTGACCCCATCCGAGGGTCTCCACCCCATGCAGCATCCCCTGACCCCATGTCCACCCCAAAAGGATTCCCCTTGACGGGTCCCTGTCCCCTTGTCCCCTTGTCCCCATATCCACCCCACAAGGACCCTCCTGATGGGTCCTCCCCATCCCCATGTCCCCCATGCAGGGTCCCCTGTCCCCATGTTCCCCTTGCCCCCCTGACCCCATGTCCCCCATTCAGGGTCTCCTGTCCCCATATCCACCCCACAAGGACCCTCCTGGTGGGTCCCCATCCCCATGTGCCCCTGCCCATCCCCATGTGCCCCCCAGAGTGTCCCCGTGTCCCCGTGCCGCACTCACGCTGCCCAGGCCGAAGTCTGCTGCGTGGGGCTGTGCCAGGGGCTGTGCCAGGGGGGTGCCGGGGGTGTAGGGGGGGTTGTAGGGGCGCGGGGGGGGCGCGGGGCCCCTCGGGGGGGGCTGGGAGCCCAGCAGCAGCCCCGGCTGCCCGTAGGGGTACGGGGGCAGCCGCTGCTCCGCCGGCAGCTTGCTGGTGTCCAGGGGCACGCCCTGCGGAGATAACGGGGAGGGGGCGTCAGCAGGGCCCCCCCCGAGGGTGGGGGGCTGCCCCAGCCCCCCCAGCACCGGCAGGAGCCGTCCCTGAGAGCCCCGAATCAGCCACGGCTGCAGCCGGAGCCACTGAGGGGAGGGGGCCTGGAGGGACACGGGGGGCCTGGGGAAACAGGGGACCCTGGAAGGGACATGGGGGGCCTGGGAGGGACATTGGGGACCCTGGGAGGGACACAGGGTCCCCCCCACTGTCCCTGAGCACAGGGAGGGCTGTGGGGGTGAGGGGGGCCCTGGGGTGTGGGTGAGATGAGGATGGAAACGAGACGAGAAGTGAAGGCAGGAGGAGGGGAGAGGAGAGGAGGACAGGGATGAGGAGGCTGAGGACAAGCAGGACAAAGAGGAGAGTGAGGAAGAGGAGGGCCAAGATAAGGATAAGGATGGGGAAGAGGAAAAAGAGAAAGAAGAGAAAGAGAAAGAACACGAGAAGGATGAGAAAAAGGAGGATGGGGAAGAGGACGAGCAGAAAGGAGACACGGAGGAGGAGAAGGAAAGGGAAAGGAGGAAAAGGATGAGGAAGAGGACAAAGACGAGGTCCAAGACAAGGATGGGGAAGAGGAGAAAGAGAAGAAAAAGAAGAGAAAGAAAAGGAAGAAAAAGAAGAGAAAGAGGAGGAACATGAGAAGGATGAGGAAGAGGAGGATGGGGAGGAGGACAAGGAGGAGGAGAAGGAAGGGGGAAAAACAGGAAAAGGACAAGGAAGAGGAAGAGGAGGAAGAGGACAAAGATGAGACTCAAGACAAGGACAAGGATGGGGAAGAGAAGAAAGAGAAGGAAGAAAATGAAGAGAAAGAGAAAGAACACAAGGACGAAAAAAAGGAGGATGGCGAAGAGGACGAGGAGGAGGAGAAGGAAGGGGAAAGGAGGAAAAATAGAGGGTAATGACAAGGTTCAAGACAAGGATGGGGAAGAGCAGAAAGCAGAAAAAGAAAGAGAAGAAACACAAGAAGGAGGAGAAAGAGAAGGATGGGGAAGAGGATGAGGAGGAAGGAGACGAGGAGGAGGAGAAGGAAGGGGAAAGGAAGAGGAGGAGGAGGAAGGGGAAAGGAGGAAAAGGCAAAGGAGGAGGACGAGGAGAAGGAAGGGGAAAGGAGAAGGAGGAAAAGGAAGGGCAAAGGAGGAGGAGGAGAAGGAAAGGGAAAGGAGGAAGAGGAGGAGGAGAAGGAAGAGGAAAAAAGGAGGAGAAGAAGGAAGGGGACAAGGAGGAGAAGAAGGGGAGACAGGAGGAGGAAGAGGAGAAGGAAGGAGAAAGGAGGAGGAGAAGGAAGGGGAAAGGAGGAGGAGAAGGAAGGGGAAAGGAGGAGGAGGAGAAGGAAGGGGAGAAAGGAGGAGGAAGAGGAGAAGGAAGGGGAAAGGAGGCCGAGGAAGAGGAGGAAGCGGCGGCGCTGGAGCGGGGGACGACGGCGATGCGTACCTGGGTGATGGAGGACAATGTGGGTGACATTGTTGGTGAGAACTGTTTGGGGTGCTGCCGTCTGCAGTCGCCGGCCGCGGGCAGGGACAGGGGGCTGAGCGGGACGCGCCGGCGGGGCGAGGTGGCCGCGAAGGAGCCGCCCAGCCCCGAGGGCAGGCTGGGGTTGCTGGGCGAGGACTGCAGCGGCTGCGGGCGCGGGGACGTGGGCAGCGAGGGGTTGGAGAGCGAGGAGGAGAGCGAGGAGGGCAGGGACTGGTTGGACAGGGAGGAGGGGATGGAGGAGCTGCTGCGGGAGGACTGCAGCGAGGGGTTGCTGAGGGAGGCCTGCAGCGAGGGGCCGCGCAGGGAGGCCTGCAGGTTGGGATTGCTCAGGGAGGACTGCAGGGACGGGTTACTCAGGGAGCTCTGCAGAGGTGAGGGGAGTCCTGTGGGGACAAAAACAGAGAGCACCGTTACCCCGGCACGGCCCCAGCCCCGGGACGGCCCGGGGACGGGGATGGAGGGGAACAAAACGATGGAGACGGACACACGGACGCAGGGACGGACACACACCCCGGGCAGGAGCGGGAGGGGGCACCGGGGTGGGAGCTGGGCTCCTCCCAGACCCCTGTGAGACCCCTGGCACTGTCAGAGCGCAGGGCATGACAGCTGGGCACCCCCCAGGGACCCACAAAACGAATGGATCTTATAGGGCAACAGGGTGGGGGCTGGGCTCCCCCAGGGACCCACAGAGCCATTGGACCCCATAGGGGAACAGGGTGGGAGCTGGGCTCCCCCCACACACCCACAGGAGCCCCAAATCCATCCCCACCCCACTCCCAGACTGGGATCCCTGGAGCTGCCACTGCCACCCCAGCACACCTCCTGGAGGGGCTCTGTGTCCCCCCACACCATCCAGGGGTCCCCATCTCCGTCTGTGGGACACCGGTGGCGCTCCCTGTGTCCCCCAGAGCAGTTCCCAGCCTGGGGACCCTCTCTGGCTGCAGGGGTCTCACCTGGGGGGTCGTAGCCCAGCCCGACGGCGCCGGCGCTGCCGCTGATGCCCAGGTGGGTCATGGTGGTGGCCAGGTTGGAGGTGCTGCTGCCCCCGCTCAGGGGCGGGTACGGGGCCTCCTCGGGGTCCAGGGGGGTGGGCAGGGGGGACGGGAAGTGCAGCGTGGTCAGGTCGGGCAGGGACCCCCCCGTGTTGAGGGCCGAGGGCATGAGGGGCACGTTGGCAGGTTGATCCGGGGATGGGAATACGCTGGCACGGGGGGCACAGAGACAGGGTCAGAGCAGGACAGGGGCTCCCCCAGTGCCCCCCAGAGCCCCTTTCCCACCTCCAGCCCCTCCCTGGCATCCCCCTCCCAGCACTCACTGGATTCCCGGCACCTCGCAGGAGCGCGGCCGGGCCGAGGAGGACGAGAGCTGTGGGATCAAAGGGTTGGCAATGAGGCCAGGCCAGGCCACAGGGGTGGGGGACACGGGGGGACACCCCCACCCACCTTCCTGGTGTCCCCACCCACCTTCTTGGTGTCCCAGGGCTTCAGCGAGTGCTTGTTGTCATCGAAGTTCTCTTCGATGGGAGGCACTTGGAAAAGAAACACTGGGAAGGGCACGGGGGGGTCAGTGTGAGGAGGGGGCACGGGGGGGGTCAGTGTGAGGAGGGGGCACGGGGGGGGGGTCAGCGTGAGGAGGAGGGGGCACAGGGGGCTCACTCAGAGCCCCCCAGCACAGAGAAAGAGGGGACACAGCACTGGGGACATGGGTTGGTGCCACGCTCACCTTTGCTGTCCGAGTCCCCGTCCAGGAAACCTGTGGGGGAGCAGGAGGTGAGGGGAGCACAGAGGGGAGGGGGCTGCCCTGGGAGCCCCTCGGGGGGTGTGGGGGGAGCTCACCAGCTCGGCGGCCGGGGGGGGGCCCGGCCTGGGAGGGGCCCAGGTAGGAGTCCTGGGGCGTGGGGTTCATCACGCTCGTGTGCAGCGCCGAGTCCGAGTTCGTCCTGCAACGGGGAGAGAGAGGGGCTGGGGCCGGGCTCTGCCTGCCCCCGGCCCACTGACAGAGCCCCGACCCACCGAGAGACCCACTGACAGACCCACTGACAGACCCACTGACAGACCCACTGACAGACCCACTGACAGAGCCCCGACCCACTGACAGACCCACTGACAGACCCACTGACAGACCCATTGACAGACCCACTGACAGAGCCCCGACCCATTGACAGACCCACTGACAGACCCACTGACAGACCCACTGACAGACCCCCCCACCCCACTGACAGACCCACTGACAGACCCACTGACAGACCCACTGACAGACCCCTGACCCACTGACAGACCCCCCCACCCCACCGACAGACCCACTGACAGACCCACTGACAGACCCACTGACAGACCCCTGACCCACTGACAGACCCCCCCACCCCACTGACAGACCCACTGACAGACCCACTGACAGAGCCCCGACCCACCGACAGACCCACTGACAGACCCCCGACCCACTGACAGACCCACTGACAGACCCACTGACAGACCCCCGACCCACTGACAGACCCATTGACAGCCCCACTGACAGACCCATTGACAGAGCCCCGACCCACTGACAGACCCACTGACAGACCCACTGACAGACCCCTGACCCACTGACAGACCCACTGACAGACCCATTGACAGAGCCCCGACCCACTGACAGACCCACTGACAGACCCACTGACAGAGCCCCGACCCACTGACAGACCCACTGACAGACCCCCACCCCACTGACAGACCCACTGACAGACCCACTGACAGACCCATTGACAGACCCACTGACAGACCCCCGACCCACTGACAGACCCACTGACAGACCCACTGACAGACCCACTGACAGACCCCCGACCCACTGACAGACCCACTGACAGACCCACTGACAGCCCCACTGACAGACCCACTGACAGACCCCCACCCCACTGACAGACCCACTGACAGAGCCCCGACCCACTGACAGACCCACTGACAGCCCCACTGACAGACCCCCACCCCACTGACAGACCCACTGACAGAGCCCCGACCCACTGACAGACCCACTGACAGACCCCCACCCCACTGACAGACCCATTGACAGACCCACTGACAGACCCCCGACCCACTGACAGACCCACTGACAGACCCATTGACAGACCCCCGACCCACTGACAGACCCATTGACAGACCCACTGACAGACCCCTGACCCACTGACAGCCCCACTGACACCCCCACCCCCACTGACAGCCCCCCAGCCCAGCCCCCTCCTGGCGCCCCCTCCCCATTGGGGTCTCTCCCTCTGTGCCCCCAGACCGGCTCCGCTCCTGTCTCCTCTGCCACCCCCCAGCACAGGGGGACAGTGGGACCCCCAGGGACCCTTTGGGGGCTGGGGGCACCCAGGGTGTTCCCAGCGAGCCGTTCCAAGGCAGAGGAGAGCAGGGAAGGGCTGGGACGAGTGGCAAAGAGGGACATTGTTCAGCCGTGGGACCCCTCCAGAGGGGGCCCTGAGGGGGGTCAGGGGCCAGCTCCTCCCCAGGGGGGTCCTGGGGCCCCTCTGGGGGTCTCCAGAGCCACCTCCTCTGCAGAAAGGGCTGGAACAGGGAGAGAAGGGAAGCAGTGCATCCATTACCTGTTGAGAGCTGAGGGCAGCCGGAATAAATGTCCTTTCTCCACGGGGAAATTGCTCCAGGGCATGGTCCTGCAGAGGGAGAAAGGGCATCAGGGAATGGGGTGGGGAACAAGGAGCCAGGGGGGCGGCAGGGACCCCTCAGGGATCCAGGACCCCATTCCCTGTCTGGGAGGGCTGGGAACGGCAGGGGGATGGAACAGGGCCAGGGCCAGGGCTGCCACACCCCATACTGGGACACAGACACTGAGGGATGGAGCTGCAGCCTGGACTTGTCACCTGTCCTTGGGGATTCCTCTTCCTGCATGAAATTCCTCCTCAAAGCCCCACTTTGTGGGACAATCCTGGAATCTGAGAGGTGGGGGCTTCCCTCTGCCCCCATCCCAGACCCCAGGAATGCCCAGGAATCCCAGGCAGCTCTGGCTGGCTGCGCCAGAGCCTCTTGCACTCCCAAAGCTCCAGGATGGGAAAGGGATGGGAAAGGGCAGCAAGGATCCAGGGCAAGCAGGGAATTACCTTCTCCAGGATGGGGATGGGAACAGGATGGGAAAAGGGATGGGAAAAGGGATGGGAACGGGATGGGAATGGGCACTGGGGATCCAGGAATGGGCACTGGTGACTCAGGGCAAGCAGGAATTACCTCCTCCAGGATGGGGATGGGGATGGGAACAGGATGGGAACGGGCACTCAGGACCCAGGGCAATCAGGAATTACCTCCTCCAGGATGGGAAAGGGGTGGGAACAGGATGGGAACGGGCACTCAGGACCCAGGGCGAGCAGGAATTACCTCCTCCAGGATGGGAAAGGGATGGGAACAGGATGGGAATGGGCACTGGGGACCCAGGGCAATCAGGAATTACCTCCTCTAGGATGGGAAAGGGATGGGAACAGGATGGGAATGGGCACTCAGCACCCAGGGCGAGCAGGAATTACCTCCTCCAGGATGGGAATGGGATAAGAACGGGATGGGAACAGGATGGGAACGGGCACTCAGCACCCAGGGCGAGCAGGAATTACCTCCTCCAGGATGGGAAAGGGATGGGAACAGGATGGGAATGGGCACTCAGCACCCAGGGCGAGCAGGAATTACCTCCTCCAGCTGGGCTCGGGCGGTGGTGACAGGTACGTGGGTCCGTAGGGAGAGCTGTCGATGTGGGGGCACGTTAAGGGCCACACGGACAGCGAGGGGCTCCCAAACGCCCTGGGAAGGGCAGGAGGGCCGGGACAGCACCGGGCACACGGCACAAAGGATATCTGGCGCACGTAGCGGCGCAGGGGGGACATCATGCGGCGCGGGTCCCGCTGCACGCGCTCCACCAGCCCGTGGTGCCGCGTGCTGCGCGTGGAATCCAGCGGCGACGGGCCCTGCGGGGAGGGGGAGCGGCTGAGCCCACCCAGGAGGGGCTCGGGAGCGGCTGCCCCGCCTGGGAGAGGGCGAAGGGACTGGGGAAGGCCCCCGTGTCCCCAGAGAGCCCCTGGGGTCACCTGGAAGTCGGGCACGCCGCTGCCGATCTGGTTGACGTTGGGCAGGGAGCCGCTGTAGAAGGGGCCCCGGCTGTGGGCCAGCCGCAGCTTCTGCGCCTGCAGCTGGGGGGACACGGGGGGGGGGGACACGTCAGGGGGGTGGCCAGCACCCCCTGGGACCCCCAGGCTGCCCTTCCCGCACCCCACATTGGATCTGGCCCCTTCCCACACCGCACATTGGATCCAGTCCCATTCCCACACCCCACATTGGATCCAGCTCCTTCCCGCACCCCACATTGGATCCGGCCCCTTTCCCACACCCCACATTGGATCCAGCTCCTTCCTGCACCCCATATTGGATCCAGCTCCTTCCTGCACCCCACACTGGATCCGGCCCCTTCCCGCACCCAGAGCGGGATGGATGAGGGTCAGGATCCCGAGAGGATCCCACAATCCCAGAGAGCAGAGGCTCCCCCTGTCCCAGCCAGATCCAGAGGGATTTTCCACCCCATCCACCCAAGGCCACCCCGGAGATTCCAGCACAGAGCAGGACTCAAGGCCGGGGGAAGGAGTCACAGCAAAACACGGCAGAGATAAGGGGATCCCAGCAAACATCAGAGATTTGGGATTCCCAGGAAAGCGGACGGCCTCACCTCCCTCCAGCAGCAGGGCATGGCCCAATCCCCCCATCCCCTGATCACCCCAGCCTGCTCCCAGTGCCCAGGGAAGGAGGAATTCCCTGGGCTGAACCCACAGGAATCCCCTTTCCCTCCGGAGCTGGGAGTCCCTAAACACATCCAAGAGTTGTTCCTCAGTGCCTGGAGAAATCTCAGGGAAACAGAAGCTGCAACCCCAAAACCGGCTGAGAAACGGGAAACGCCGAATTCCCGAGCGTAAAACCGTGGAGATCCAGATCCAGAGGGAAAAACAAGGAAAACAACCCAAAAAACCCCAGGAGATTTAGGCAGCAGCTGGCGGGATTAGCGCCCGGAGCTGCGCCGGGGCTTAAGGCCTTGGGATGGAGCAGGGAGCTGTGAGCCAGGATCCCTGGGGGAGCCCGGAACCTGGGATCTGCAGCGCTCAGACAGTGGGGAAACTGCAGGGAAAACTCCGGGAAAAACTCCGGGAAAAACCGCGGGAACCGCGGAGCAGAGCTGGGGGGGCTGCGGATCCCACACGGGAATGGATGGGGCAGGGATGAGGGGAGGAATTCCCAGAGGAGCCAGCCCAGGAGGGATCAGGGAGTGGATTCCTGCAGGAATGAATCCAGAGAGGGATCAGGGAGTGGATTCCTGGAGAAATTATTCCAGCCAGGGATCAGAGAATGGGTTCCCACAGGAATGATTCCAGGCAGGGATGAGGGAAGAATTCCCACAGGAATTATTCCAGAGAGGGATCAGGGAGTGGATTCCCACAGGAATGAATCCAGAGAGGGATCAGGGAGTGAATTCCCAAAGGAATGATTTCAGGCAGGGATCAGGGATTGGATTCGTGATTCCAGGCAGGGATCAGGAAATTGATTCCCAGGGGAATGATTCCAAGCAGGGATCAGGGAGTGGATTCCTGGATTCATGATTCCAGGCAGATATGAGGGAGTGAATTCCCAGAGGAATGATTCCAGGCAGGGATCAGAGAGTGAATTCCCACAGGAATTATTCCAGGCAGGAATCAGGGATTGGATTCATGCTTCCAGGCAGGGATCAGGGAAGGAATTCCCGGAGCAATGATTCCAGGCAGGGATCAAGGAGTGAATTCCCAGAGGAACCATCCCAGAGTGGATTCCTGGATTCATGATTCCAGGCAGGGATCAGGGAGTGAATTCCCAGAGGAATGATTCCAGGCAGGGATCAGGGATTGGATTCACGATTCCAGGCAGGGATGAGGGAAGGGATTCCCGGAGCATTGATTCCAGGCAGGGATCAGGGAGGGAGCGGATTCCTGGATTCATGATTCCAGGCAGGGCTCAGCACAGCCCCGCTGCACATTAACCAGCTGTTTGCTCTGCAAACACGGCCCCAAAATCCCTGCGGATGGAGGCACCCGGGGATGCTCCACCCCGCCCCTAAACTGCCCGGGAAGGGACAGCAAGGTCCGGCCCAGCCCCGAACTCTCCAGGGATGTCCCTGTGACTGTGACAGTGACATCCCAGATCCCGGGTCCTCACACATCCAGGAGCCTCGGGGCTCTCCAAGCCAAAAATTCCCGGTTTTGGAAGCTCTGCTGGGCACTCCCCGGATTTTCCCCATCCCCTGGAAGAGCCTCCCCGGATTCCTCACTGCCCATCCTCGCTCCTCCATCCCGCACTTTGGGCTGGGAAGGACCAAAATTCCACCAAACGCCGGGATGGCGGAGATTCCCACAGGTTTCGGGAGGCGATTCCTGAGCAGCTCCACATCTGGAGCATTCCCGGTTTTCCCGATTTCCTCCGAGATCCCAGCACTCGGTTTTCCCGGAGCTGCCGGGTGGGATTTATCCCAGATATCCCAAATATCCCATCCCTGCCTTTCCCAGCCCCAAACAAACCCAACCTGAGCATCCCGCGAGGATCCCGGACACAGGGACAGAGCCCGGAGCTCCGCGGGGTGGGATCGGAGCCATCAGGGAACCCTTTCCCACCCCAATTCCGCCGGGATCCACCCGCAGCCCCCCTGGGCCCCCTCCCCAAAATCCTCACAGCCCCCTCCAACACCCCCAAACCCTTCCGAGCCCTTCCGGACCCTCCTACCGCAACCCAAATCCTTCAGAGCACCTCTCGACCCCTCAAACTCCCCCCAACATTCTCGCAGCCTCCCTAGTCCCCTCTGAGCCCCCTCCCCAAATTCTTCACGGCCCCCCCATCCCCTCAGGACCCCTCCAGCCCCCCCACACCCTCACCCCCGCGTCCCCTCACGATCCCCCCAAATCACGGCCCCTGCCAGCTCCTCAAGACCCCCCTCAGCCCCTCACGATTCCCTCGGTCCTCTCCCCCTCAGCCCCGGCCCCCCCCCAGCCCCTCACGGCCCCTCCGCCCCGGCCCCCCCCCCGCCCCGCGGCGCATCCGGCGCGCGGCCCGTCCTCACCCGTGTGGAGCAGATCTCCATCATGACCTCCTCGAAGGCCGCGGTCTCCTCCGCCTGCCGCTGCTTCTGCAGTGCGATCTTCTCGCTGAACTTGCGCGGGTTGGACGCACCGGCGCCGGCCGAGGGTCCCGCGCCGGGCCCGGGCCCGGCCCCCGCGCCCGCCGCCGCCATCTTCCCCGCTCCGCCGCTCCGCCGCCGCCGCCGCGCGTGGCACGACGGGATCTGTAGTTCAGCGGGCCGCGCCAACAACGGGGTGCGATTTGTGTGTGGACTATAACTCCCAGCGGTCTGTGCGGGCGCTGCGCAGGGAGCGCTGGGAAATGGAGGCACTGGGTTACGAGGTACTGGAAGGGGAGGGAGGTTGGGACTACAAATCCCGGAGAGCAGCGCGAGAGCGCCGGGCCGGGAAAGGGGCGTGGCCTGTGGAAGGGGCGCGGTCTGCGCTGTGAGGGGAATGGGGCGGACGAGCACGGAGGGGCTCAGAAATGGGGGCGGCTCTGGGGGTACAGCGAGGTCACCCCCTCCCCAAGCCTGGGAACTGAGCAGACACTCCCCAGACCCAAAATTAGGGGGTACCAGACTCCCCCAGCCCATATAGCCAGGAGGGCAAGTGAGGGACACTGCGACGACACACACCCCAAATTCCGTCCCACCCCGCCCAGGCACAGGCAGCAATTTGGGGTTCAGGTCTTTATTTGCTTCATCCAACACCCCCAAATCCGGGGGAATCCGTAAGGGCACTTGTGGTTATGGGGTGGGGGGGACACTCACCCCCTCCCGGGGTCCTGAGTGAGGGAGGGGGGGTCACAGCACCGATCCCTTGTGGGGAAACTGAGGCACAGCGCTGAGAGACGGACATGGGGACACCCGGGACGGACCTGGGACCCCAGAAAGGGACACGGGGACCCCAAAAATGGACACGGGGACCCCAAAAATGGACACGGAGACCCCCGGGAAGGACACGGGGACCCCAGAAATGGACACAGGGACCCCAAAAATGGATACAGGGACCCCCGGAATGGACACAAGGATCCCCGGGACAGAGACGGGGACCTCAAAATTGGACATGGGGACCCTCAAGACAGACAGGGGGCCACAGAAATGGACACGGGACCACTCGGGACGGACATGAGGATGCCCAGGATGGACATGGGGACGCTAAAAAATTGACACGGGGACCCCGAAAATGGACACGGGGACACCCGGAATGGACGCAGGGACCCCTGGGACGGACATGGGGACCCCAAAATTGACACAGGGACCCCAGAAATGGCCGCGGGGACCCCAAAATGGACACGGGACCCCCGGGACAGACACGGGGACCCCAAAAATGGACACGGGACCCCCGCCGCGGGCTCAGATGCGGATCCGGCCGTCCCGGAGGCGCTGCCAGCGCTCGGCGTCCAGCGGGACGAAGGCTCGGGCGGGCTCGTCCAGCACCAGCAGCGGCTCCGCCACCAGCGCGGGGTCGCAGCCGTCCCGCGCCAGCCGCACCTTCTGCTGCTTGAACGTCTCGGTCATGTCCAGCCCCTCCTGGCGACAGCGGGGGTGTATTGGGGACCCCCGGGATCCCCCTGAGCACCCCCTGGGACCCCTGAGCACGTCCCGAGCACCCCAGGGACCCCTCAAGCACTCCCCGGGACCTCCGAGCACCCTCTGGGACCCTCTGGGACCCCTAAACACCCCCCAGGATCCCTGAGCACCTTCCAGGACCCCCCCCAGGACCCCCTGAGCACCCCCGAGCGGCCACCCAGGATCCCCCAGCACCTCCTGGGACCCCTAAACACCCCCTGGGACCACCCTGAGCACCCCCTGACCACCCCCCGGACCTTCCAGGACCCCTGAGCACCCCCCGAGCACCCTCCAGGGACCCCCGGGGACCCTCAGGACCCTGAGTATCCCCCGGGGACCGCCCAGAAACCCCCCCGGTACCCCCGTTATCCTCCGGTACCGTCAGCCTCAGGAAGCGGGGCTGTGCGTGGGGCGGCAGGAGCCGCTCCAGGTGCCCCCGGTACCCCCCGTTCCCCCATTCCCCCCGGTACCCCCGGACCCCCCAGCACCCCCTGTTGTCCCGGTATCCCCGTTTCCCCCCCCCGGGTCCCGGTACCGTCAGCCGCAGGAAGCGGGGCAGCGCGTAGGGCGGCAGGAGCCGCTCCAGGTGCCGGTACAGCCCGGGGCCGTCCAGGGAGTGCCCGGGGCGCAGAACGAGAGCGGCCATGCCCGCCCGGCCCTCGTGTCCTGCAGGGGAGGGGACAGTGGGGACATCGGGGACATTTGGGACATTGGGGGCATTTGGGGCATTGGGGACATTTGGGACATCGGGGACATTGGGGACAGTGGGAACATTTGGGACACTGGGGACATTGGGGACATTGGGGACACTGGGGACATTGGGGGGATTGGGGACACTGGGGACATCAGGGACATTTGGGACATTGGGGACACTGGGGACATTGGGGGGATTGGGGACATTGGGGACACTGGGGACATCAGGGACATTTGGGACACTGGGGGGACTGGGGACACTGGGGACACTGGGGACACTGGGGACATTGGGGGACATTGGGGACCCTGGGGACATTGGGGACACTGGGGACACTGGGGACATTGGGGGGATTGAGGACATTGGGGATAATTGGGGACATTGGGGACATCGGGGACATTAAGGACATTGGGGACATTGGGGGGATTGAGGACATTGGGGATAATTGGGGACATTGGGGACATCGGGGATATTTGGAGGCATTGGGGACATTGGGGATATTAGGGGACATTTGGGGACATTTGGGGGGACACTTGGGGATATCTGGGGACTCTGGGGACACTCGGTGGCCGCACCTGGCACGCTGACCCCGTAGACGGTGGCGTCCTGCAGGGACTCGTGGGCCAGCAGCGCCTCGGTCACCTCGGTGGTGGCCACGTTCTCACCCTTCCACCTGGGGGGAGGGGGGAGAGGAAAACGTTTAATGGGGACCCCCAGGACCCCCTGGGACCCCCCAAGACCCCCGAGCAGCCCCTGGGACCCCCTGAGACCCAGAACATTCCGCAGGGCTGAGCCCCCCTGGCCGTGCAGGGAGGGGGGTCTGGGGGTGTCCCCATTATGGGGAGGGGGCTCTGGGGGTGTCCTCATCCCGGGGGGGCTCTGGGGGTGTCCCTGGGGGTCTCCCCACCCCTGTCAATGCAGGGAAGGGGCTCTGGGGGTGTCCCCATAGCAGGGGGGCTCTGGGGGTGTCCCCATCACAGGGGTGTCTCTGGGGGTTTTCCTGGGGGTGTCCCTGTCCCAAGAGGGGGCTCTGGAGACACTTGGGGTCACTGGGGACATTTGGGGACACCTGGGGGTGTCCTTGTCCTGGGGGTGTCCCTGGGGGTCTCCCCATCTCGGGGATGTCCCTGGGGGTGTCCCCGTCCTGGGGGGGCTCTGGGGGTCTCCCCATCCCTGGCCATGCAGGGAAGGGGCTCTGGGGGTGTCCCTGGGGGTGTCCCCATCCCAGGGGGTGTCCCTGTCCTGGGGGTGTCCCTGGGGGTGTCCCTGGGGGTCTTCCCATCTCGGGGATGTCCCTGGGGGTGTCCCCATCCCAGGGGTATCTCTGGGGGTCTCCCCAGCCCGGGGTGTCCCCGGCACCTGAAGGTGTCCCCGGTGCGGTCGCGGAAGCGCACGAACTGCTCCCGGTCCTGCTCCACCAGGTCCCCGGTGTTGAAGAATTCGTCGCCCTCGCTGAAAACCCCGCGGAGCAATTTCTGCTCCGAGAGCTCCCGGCTGCCCGCGTAGCCCAGGAACGGCGTCCGGGCGGTCACCGGCGCGATCAGGAGACCCGTCTCACCTGAGGGACAGTGAGATAAAATTTAGAGATTTTAAAGAAATTTGAGTTCATTAAAATAGCCCAGGAATGGAGTCCTGGGGGTCACCGGAGCGATCAGCAGCCCCGTCTCACCTGAGGGCATGGGGACACAAAATTCAAGGGATTTAGAGAAATTAGAGTTAATTAAAAATATATTAATTATTTTAACCGGGGGGTCACTGGGGTGATCAGCAGCCCCGTCTCATCTGAGGGGATGGGGACAAAAAATTCAGGGAATTTAGAGAAATTAGAGCTAATTAAAAATATATTAATTATTTTAACCGGGGTGTCACCGGGGTGATCAGCAGCCCTGTCTCACCTGAGGGACAGTGAGATAAAATTTAGAGATTTTAAAGAAATTTGAGTTCATTAAAATAGCCCAGGAACGGAGTCCTGGGGGTCACCGGCGCGATCAGCAGCCCCGTCTCACCTGAGGGCATGGGGACACAAAATTCAGAGAATTTAGAGAAATTTGAGTTCATTAAAATATATTAATTATTTTAACCGGGGTGTCACCGGGGCGATCAGGAGCCCCGTCTCACCTGAGGGCATGGGGACACAAAATTCAGGGAATTTAGAGAATTTTGGCAGTTATCCTGCAATAAACACTTTCTAAATTTAAATTGTCAGAGTTTTTGGATATCAAAATCCATAGATTTTAGATATCAATATCCATATTGGGAATGGGATGTACCAAAGTAATGAATATTTGGGTCTCAAATATTGTCTACATAAAATCTGTAATCACCTGTAAATCACGGTGTGTATTTGGGAGTTACCCCCAAATAAACTACAATTTCTAACTCTACACTGTCAGAGAGTTTTTGGATATCAAAATCCATAGATCAATATCCATATTGGGAATGGGATGAAGCGAAGTTATGAATATGTATTTGTATTTTGGGTAGTGAATACTTGTATAGATAAAATCTGTAATCACCTGTAAATGGTGGTGTATATTTGAGAGTTATCTCACAATAAACATTCACTTTCTAACTTTAAATTGTCAGAGAGTTTTTGGATATCAGTTCTAGACCAATATCTATATTGGTTATGAATATGTATTTGTATTTTGGGTATTCAATACTTGTATAGATAAAATCTGTAATCACCTGTGAATCACGGTGTGTATTTGGGAGTTACCCCACAATAAACATTCATTTTTTAATTCTAAACTGTCAGAGAGTTTTTGGATATCAAAATCCATAGATCAATGTCCATGTTGGGAATGGGATGTACCAAAGTAATGAACATTTGGATCCTCAATATTGTCTAGATAAAATCTGTAATCACCTGTGAATCACGGTGTGTATTTGGGAGTTACCCCACAAT